GAGTCTGTTGTTTTCTGTTGGTACCAGTTCAAGGAGCTACTAATGTCTTGACTTGCCGCGATGGCGACTCTCTCTGCTGAAGCTTTGTCTGGAAGTAGCAAATTTTTTTTAAGTAATTTTATTGGGATTATAATGGTTCATAACATTGTGTAATTTCAGGCGTACATTATTATTTCTCAATTTCTGAATACACTTCATCGTGCTCACCCCAAGTAGTCTAATATTTATGCATCACCAGACGTATGTGCCCCTTTGTCCCTTTCGCCCACCCCCCCAACCCTCTTCCCCTCTGGTAACCACTAATCTGTTCTCTTTATCCACATATTTGTTATCTTCCACATAGGAGTGAAATCATGCAGCATTTGTCTTTCTCTGTCTGGCTTATTTCGCTTAACATCATACGCTCCAGCTCCATCCACGTTGTTGCAAATTTGAGGCACAATGTCTCCACTGGCATCTGAAATGAAAAAAAAATCACATAAACACAAATATCTTTGAGGTTAAACACGTTCCACTCTATGAGCTTCTCGTGTTACTCAAGACTGTGAGTGCTCTGTAAGAAGCCACGTGTCAAACCCAAGAGTACTCAGGTTTCATCTTACAATGAGAAGAAAGCAATTCTCATCACCATATGAAAACTCCTCAAAACTTTTTTTCTCACTTGGGCTCCAGAGCAGCAGAGGGTAGAGGAATTAAGGTCCTCATGGCCAATCTGTACATGAGTGAGGCAGACACCCACACTCAGCCGGGGACCAGCCCATGAGGAATTTGATCTACAGTCAAGTGCTCCTGGGAAAGTGTGCAAAGTCATTCTGGATAGAGATATTTTGGGACTTCTAGGTCCAAAGAAGATTAATTCACATCTGTCACACAAGGATGATTCCTCCCTCTGTTTCTTTAGTTGGTAAGGAAACCATGTGAAGCCTCTCACTTAATAGTCAAAATCACAAGAAAATTCGCTTAGCCCTCAGTCACAGATGGCCTTTCTCTGGTGGTGTCTACTTGAGTGATTACAAGCTTGTTTTGTGAACCTTATAAACAATGTTTATCAAGAACAAAAATTTTTGACACAGCTATAAATTGGATTTGAACTTAAACTGCTTGAACACAGAATCATTTTCCTCTTATGAACCTAACCCTGGCAATGTTCTCTAGAAGACAAATCAAAGGTAAGATGTCAGTTGCCTTAGTAACAGAACGTGGGAATTTAGAGTTGAAGGAAAAAAACATAAACGAAAGATTTAGAGAATTCTGCACAGCAGCCATATCTGCTATATTTGAGGATATCAATCATTTATAGTCTAAATTCAGGGGAAAAAATCAGAACAAAGAGAAAATAGCCAAGGATTCATGAAGGAAATCTAATTTAAACTGCCTCAAAGGTAATGAAAACTTAGGTCAATAGGGAAGATGTTATGATTTAGTGTTTGGATTTGATTTCATGAAGTAGTTTAAAAGGATAAGAAGTAGAGTTTGAAAAAAAAGAGACAGCAGGAAGTAGGAAGTCCAAAAGTCAACCTGCTGCTCTATGGCACATGGGATACTGACTGCCGTCTGCCTCCCTTAGGAATGAGAGTGACCATAACAGTGTCTACAGAGGTCTACAGCTTATTCCTGTCTTCCCACTGATCAAAGATCCTGAGGTGAGAGTAACACTCTTCAGAAACTATGGGCAAGGAGACTCATCCACACAGGACCAGGTTTAGACAATGAGATCTTGGACTTTGAGCTGTTACCATCATGGAATAACATGTGTTGGTGTTGGAGTGGGAATTCATGTATTTTGCAAATGGAAGAGACGTGGATTGTTTTAACCAAAGGGTAGACAGTTGTGGATTGTATTCTCCAAGATGGCTATAATAAGATCTCCCATTCTACAAGTTCTTCTAATGGTATGATGTTGACACCTCCCGTTGAAATTATCATCATATGTTTTCTCACCTTGAATCTGGATGGGTGAGGGATTGTTGTGGAAGTAACATTATGTGTCTTCTGAAGCTTTAAGAGGTCATACAGGCTGTATAACCCCTGTCTGGTACTCTTAGGGGAAGTATAGGTGGAGTCAAGCAGCATACGTGAGCAGCCTCAGCTGAGGACCCAAACAACGTCTAGCATTGACCACCTCTGAGATGAATCCACCCCCAATGACCATCTTACTGTATCCAAGGAGGAACTTTTGTGAGCCCAGGAAACACCTAGAGCCATAGAGTTAACAGTACAATGATTGCAGTTTTCATAAGCCATTAATTATGAGGTGATTTGGTTTGAATCAATAGTAGCTAAAATGTAACAAATAGATATAGAAGGAATAAGGAAGAAATTATATATTGATGCTAAATTAATTTGGGTAAAGTGTATATGGAGTTTTATTGTATTACTTTTTTGCAAAAACTCTTCTTGAATCCCTGACACAGGGGAAGACAAGGAAAACTACTGCCTCCGACATTGGAGAGACAAATGAATACTGGGAATCTTGGCTTACCAGGGCAGAGAATCATGAACAGAAACTGCCGAAAGAACCAGTGCCAGGGCAGGAAAACCTGAACTTAAATTGATGAATTGCTGAAGGCTCAGTGTGGACAAGTTTGAGAGTTAAAAAATTCCACGGAAACACAGTAATAAGGCTGTCCCCACAATATTGTGAGATTAACTTCATGAGCTCAACTAGATTCCCACGGTAAATATCAGAGAAAAATCACCTCCTGATTCCAGCAGGGGGAGCAGAAAAAGTACTATTTTGAAATACACCAGAACAATCTTTCTTCTTAAGATAAAAATAGGAACAAAGGACAAGTCTGACAAACAGAAAATAGCAACAAAATGGTGACCCTAATCCAATTCTATCAATAATAACTTTGAATGCCAATGGCCTAAATGCACCAAAGAAAAGACAAAGATAGAGTGGATCAAAAAACAAGACCCAAATATATGTTGTCTACAAGAAACCCACTTTAAATATAAAGACACACAGAGATTAAAAAGAATCAGTTGGAGGAAAATAGACCATGCTAACACTACTCAACAAAAAGCAAATTAGCTGCATTAATTTCAGAGAGACCAGATTTCAAAGCAAGGGAAGTTATCAGGGATAAAGAAAGGAATTGCATAATGATAAAGTGGTCAATTTCCCCGAGAAGACATGACATTTCTTAAGCTGTATGCATCTAACAACAGAGAGTCAAAACTACGTGAAGCCAAAACTAATAGAATTGAAAAAAGAAATAGATGACTCCATTATCATAGTTGGAGACTTCAACACACCTCTGTCAGAAATGGTCAGATCCAGCAGGAAAATCAGTAAAACAATCCTCAACTTATACTGCCCAATACATAATATAAATTTTATCATTTTCCTGAAACTGCTAGATCCTTTCATTCCATTTACCCTACTTCTTTCTTTTTTGGTGTGTTTTTTTTCACACACTTCAGTTATATATGCATCTCAAACTCTACAAGATATTGTACTTATTGTTTGCAGCCAATATTAATTTATATTTATCCATATATGTATCATCCCATCATTCATCTTTTATGTATCTTCATGTTTCTTTCTAGGATGACATTCCTTCTGCTGACATCACTAACAATATTGATGATAATAATTTTCTTAATTTTTTTCAAACAATATTTATTTGATATATCTTGCATCCCAATTTTTCCCTCTCCATTTCTGGTAAATGGGATATTTTTCTTTTTATTTTCTTTCCTTTCCTTTTTTTTTCTGGTGAGGGAGTTTGGACCTGAGCAAACATCTCTTGCCAACCTTCCTCTTTTTGCTTGAGGAAGATCGTCCCTGAGCTAACAGCTCTGCCAATCTTCCTCTATTTTTTGTATGTGACATGCTGCATCAGCATGGCTTGATGGGCAGTGTAGGTCTGAGCCCAAGATCTGACCCTTGAACCCAGGGCCACTGAAGCAGAGCGTGCTAAGTTAACCACTATATCACCGGGCCGGCCCCTATATGAAGTATGTTTTAAATTGAAAAGAAATCTTTCTTTCTTAATTGGAAGGATTGAATTTTACTTTTCTTCTCTTTAAAAGTTCCCATACAACTTCTAAATTTAACAAAAATGAGATATTGTTATTTTAACTGGACTCTTCATGGAATATGCTGTCTTGGAATTGGCAATCATCTCAAATATAGTTTTTTCCCTTAAGCAGAAGCAGCATTATTTTACTTTGTTGATTCAAACCTTAGTTGACATCTACCATATCGTAATTCTATAACTGATATGCCATTTTATTTGACCAAAATATTAGTAGAATGTTATTTTAAATGGAATATGCTTAAAGCTAACGTTTCTATTCACTTATTACTGGAATATGGAAATCATATTCATTATCAAAACTCATTTTGATGATGGCATGATCAGCATCATTCCTTCAGCTGTTTCTTTTCCATTTATTTTTTTTTCACCCCAACAAACGTGAGCCCCAGAGCTGGGTGTTGTACCAACAGCTGACCTCTTCCGTGGACCCTTCACATTCTCGTTTCTGTCCTCTGCAGGGAAATCTTAAGATTCTTATTTTCAGCAGGCAAATATTTGACTTTCATGTTATTTTGTATTGATACAAATTCTGTTGAATGAAGCATTTATTTTTATGCTCTCTGTTTCTTCAGACTTGGTTCTTTATTTTTGAAATCGAGCTTTGGAATTCAGAAAACTCTCTTTTGCTTTCCACATGCTGTGTCAGAGACTGTTAAAGATTTAGACACCAGGCCTTTGTTTGTGAAGAGATTTAGCAAGTCTATCCAGTAGTTCAAAAACAAGAATATGAATAGTTTTTCTTTTTTTTTAAACTTTTTTTTTTTTTGAGGAAGATTAGCCCTGAGCTAACATCTGCTGCCAATCCTCCTCTTTTTGCTGAGGAAGACTGGCCCTGAGCTCACATCCGTGCCCATCTTCCTCCATTTTATATGTGGGACACCTACCTCAGCATGGCTTGCCTAGCAGTGCCATGTCCGCACTGGGGATCCGAACCCGCCAACGCTGGGCCACTGAAGCAGAACGTGCTAACTTAACCGCTGCACCACCGGGCCAGCCCTGAATAGTTTTTCTCACTATTTCACTGAGGACAGTGGTATAAAATCCTGTGCTGCCCCCATATTGAGAGAGACGTGTATTTAGAAAGAGTGGAAGTGGGAAGATGGGGCAGGGAAATAAAACTGTGTCTTAATATCACTAAATATTACCCTGCTGCATGCATGCTAGCAACTACTGAACCTAATAAAAAAAAAGTGTAGTTTTGAGTTGGCATGAATCAGCCTCCATTATGTGTTATGTGTTGTTCTGAATGAATTTAGCTGATGAATGTATGTGATGCGGGAGGATTAGCATGAGTTCTCATTCAGCTTTTAGTTCCTCATGACTGGTTTCTTAGAGGGCACCTGGACCCCTCCATTCTCCTGCTGCTTCAGCCGTGCCAAGGCTGTGCTGCTGATGCGACTTAACATGTGGTTCCTCAGGTGCAGGGGAAGCGCTCATGGTCCAGAGTCCTCAGCTGCCAACTATTCCCCTGAGTTCTCTAACATCTTCCTCTTAGACAGACTCAGAGAATCTGCTGTGTCTGCTCCCCAGACAGGCTGCACATGTGGGCAGCTGGGCCACACCATGCAGGGAGGTTTATGTTGAGGCCTGTACCACTGTGGGAGAAGCATATAGAGCTTGCACACAGTAATAGACTCCAACGTCCTCAGGCTCCCCTCTGCTGATTTTCAGGGTGAAATCTGTTTCTGACCCGCTCCCACTGAACCTGTCTGAGACTCCAGAGACCCGGGTGGAAACCAAATAGATCAAGCACTTTGGAGACTGGCCTGGCTTCTGTAGGAACCAATACAAATAGGTTTTTCCATCACTATGTTTGAGGCTCTGACTAGACTTGCAGGAGATGGAGGCCGGCTCTCCAGGGACGACAGACAGGGAGAGTGGAGTCTGGGTCATCACAACATCCCCACTGGATCCTAAAGTAATGAGAGAGAAGTACAAGGTTATGTAAAAATATTATGAACCATTTTCATAATTTTCCTTTGGTAGTTATTTCAAGCTGAATCATATGTGTGTGTGTGATTTTAATTCATAACCCCAAAATAACCAATTAAAATAAACCAAAAAACAGAGATAAGGAATGAAGGCATCTCTACACTTCAACCACTTTATTCTGCTCTAACTGTGTCACTGTCTTCACCAGAGCACAGATCCTTTATGTACATTTATGTCCTTTTAATAAATACAGATTTAAATATCTCATGCCCCTTCCCAGAGAACAAGACGTATGTACCGAAGGAGTGAACAGAAACACATAGAAAGGAGTGGTGCCCCCAGTGCTGACTCTTCCATCTCATGATTCTTTCTCCCCTACCCTCTGCCCTCACCTGTGATCCAGAGCATCAGCAGCCCCAGGAGCTGAGCAGGGAGCCTCATTTTGAGAAGTTGAACTGAAGAGTCCTGATAAGTCAAAACAAAATGACAGCTGATCTTTTATCTCAGACTCAAAAGGGAAGGTCCTCCCTAGGGGACAATATGCAAATGCCCTGGTGGGTGCAGCAGTGTGGAGAGAACCAATGTGGGAGTGGGCCTCTCCTGTGAGCAAAGTCATATAAATATCTTCTGTGTTTGGAGGAAAACCAATGGAAATCAATCCCACGCTGCCCGCAGGAGTGGGAAGAAAAATCTGACTGTCGAAAGTCTGGATCTGTTGGGAGGACACAGTGCGCATGGCCCTGCCACTCTAAGAAAGCGTCAGAGACCCTAAAATGTAGACATGTGTGTGTAGGTCAGTCTCTGGGAGGTGCATGGATGTCTTTCTAGGTTCTCTCTGAACCAATCTACAAAAGGAAACAGCTCCCACCCCTACTGCTATTGATCATCAGTATTTTCCCCAATAACAACATGGACTAGAGCTAGTTCAAGAGTGGTCTGGTGTCTGACGTTTCCAGATTAACTGTTTGAGAATAGTTGATGCAAGTGTTACAAACTATCTTGCCCTGGGACCTAGTGAATTAAACTCCACAAGGCGCTCAGGTCCAAAGAAGTTGACTCGGAGAAAACAAGTCTCTCTATTTCACTCAAAGAGTTAATAGCCCTGTTTAAGACATGAGGAAAAGCAATTTTATGCCTCAGACAGTTAATATGAAATGCATGGTCACCAATTGTTACAAACTGGTGAATATCGTTTCATAGTTACGTATAATCTCTATATACTGTATATATACCAATCAAAAGAATTCTTAAAGGAAGACCCCCTGGAATGATGGGACAAAATAAACAAGGAATAATTTAAAAATATTTTTTCTGAATACTTATAGAAAATGTCTTCCCATATCTACTCTTTCCTGCCATGTATTTTGGGCAACCACAGCTGTGAGTTCCCAGTTTAAAAGAAGATTCCATATGTTAGACGAAAAAAAACTCGATGCACTCCTTTAAAGTCTGCATGTAACTTGTACCTATGACCGACATTTTCCTGCGCCTTCATCAAAGAAGGTGACTGGAAGAAGGTGCTGGGTCAGAGCTGCTCAGGGGCATTGATGTCAGACTGTCTGTGTCTAGGGCTGTTGCAGAATAAATTTGTGTTGTCTTTCTAGTCACCAGGTTTGTGGTACTTTGTTACAGCTGCCCTAGGAAACGAATACACACACTACCCAATATAGAAACTTGAATTGCTGGAAATGAGTAACATGAGAAACATGTCATGTTGTCTTTTGGTACAAATCAATTCTTGAAAAGGCTGCTTTTGCAAAGTATTCTTTAAGATGCTTCAATTTCGGCAGTGTTTTCTGTGAAATTAACTTAGAACCTTTAAAGGCTCTGTTCCACCACACACCCAGCTGGGTGAGCAGTGCCACATAGGTCACCAAGAGACCAAAGGAAAGACCAGGAGACAGCGCATGAGACATATGGGTTTATTGGGAGTTACTTACAGGGAAGGTCCAGTGGCAACCAGCTGGACAGGAAGTGTGCACCTGCTACTGCCCCCTGAGCAAAGCTGTCTTGAATAGGCAGAGGAACAAAGGCTGCACACTTGCTAAAGGGGACTGTCCTTGTATGACCTGCATTCCAAGGACCAGAGCCCGCCCTCTCCCCTGGAGGGCATCATGTCCCCTCAGATCACAAGGGTCTTTGTGCTAACTATCCCACAAGAAAGCAGCTGGGTTGGCCAAGCCCAAAACTGTTATCATAATGAGTGCTAGTGTGTAGCCCAGACAAGGAGCCTCAAGGACACATGGTTTTTAAAGGGGCATACTGGCTAACACCCCTATACTCCAGCACCCATGTGTCCAAATGACCCTTACAATCTCATGATGCCCATCTTTTGTGGTTTTCCTCGAGCCAGACAGAGAGAGGAGCACTGTAGCCAGAGACAATGACAGCAGTAGAGAGCACAACATGAAAACAAAAGAAGTAGTAAAAAGGCAAGGACACCAAAGAAAACATGTCACCAGGTGGAGCGAAATAGAAATGGGAAAGAGGGCAGCATTCCTCCTCTCTCACAGGGCTCTCCACTTAGAGTGTTGGCAGCATGGAGACACCATGGTAGCCCCATGGTTGGAGAGAAGCGGCTGGCTGCATATCCAGCAGTTGGAGCGGTTTTGTATGTCAGCAATGGTGTGTGTCCATGCAGTGAAAAGGTTGGCAGACATTGTCCTCGGGACAAAAAGTAAGATGTTCAGAGGGAACTAAAACAGGGAGGTCATGACCATCCAACAAGACACACCAGAGGGAAAGGATGAAAGCACCTTGGGGAATTGGAGGTGTTATCCTGATATCCTGTGTTAAGCCTGTCCCCCAAGGGGTTAAGAGGCTATACCAGTGGGGCCCCACCTGCCAGTCCCAGGGCCAAGTGACCATGTGGGTCCCAGTAGGGAGTTCTGTGGCAGAGGCAAAAGCAAGTTGTTCTGAGTGCCCAGCTGTGGTTGTAGTTTCTCTCTTGGATTAGCCCTCGTCTGTAGGCATACTGTCATGTCAGGTCCTTGTGTCAAGAGATTGCATCTCCTGTTCATTCAGCTGATGTATTGCAGTTGCCAGGTATCTTGTCCAGTGAGCTAAGGTCCTGTATTCTGTCCTCAATTGTTGTTTCAGCCAGCCGTTCCTTCGTTCCAACAGCCCTGCAGCCGTGGGATTGTACGGCAGGTGAAAATGCCAATGTATGTCCATTTGATCAGCCCAGGTCTGTACCTGGTGGCCAGTAAAATGCATACCTTGGTCACTGTTGATGTCTGTGGGAACACCGTACGCACCACAGAGGTGTTCCGGCCTCGTATGGTAGCCTTCTGTGTGGCCCTCTTGCTGGGGTATGCCTTTAGCGGTCCTGTAGACATATCCACACAAGTAAGGGTGTACCGGCAGCCATCAGAGAGAGGCGAGGGCCCAGTGTAGTCTGCCTGTCAGTGTTGAGCAGGCTGGTTGTTTCTGGCAATTTGGCCTGTGTCCCAGGGAATGGCCCAGGGTCTCTGCAAGGAGCAGGAAGGGTACACCTGACAGACCTCCACCACATTAGCATGGCACAGCATAGCACAGGAGGAGGCCCCAGGCCTTGACAATAGCCCACATGGTCATTTGTCCTGTGTGTCCAGACTTCTTATGTAGCTGCTTTGCCACTCTGTGGGTTGGCGCTTCTTCCAGGAGATAAATCTGAGCTAACTTGTCTGCTTCTTGGTTCCCTAGTGGTGTTATCACCTGATGTGCAGACACATGATACACTGTTATTGTCATTCCCCAGACTGCTGTTAGATACTATCCCGGAGTTCTGCCTCCCACAACAGGCAGCCATTAACAGTCCACTTCTGTTGTGTCCATTATGTCATCCACAGGGCGAGCCCCTTTCCACAGTTAGGACCAGAAGCCAAGAGGCACTCGTTGACTGCCTTGCCTCTGCCAGAGACCCTCATCTGAACCCCCGTGGGTAACTGGAAATGTCCAATTCACATAGTTGTCCTGGTATTAAAACACACAAGGACTCGATTTGTTTCACTGTTATTTTGGCTCATGTGAAGGCCTCCTGCTTGGTGCTCCCCTAGTCCCCGATAATACCCTTTTGCACTAATTTTTAAAGAGAACAGACAGCCTGTATCTTATCTATGATAGTAGCAGGAACCACTTTTGTCTTACCCAACCAGACAACACCCAAGTATTTGACAGATAATCCAGACCTTTATACTTTGTTGTTGTTGTTGTCTACTCATCCTCCTTGGTGTAGGTGGGCGACAAGGGAGTGGGAGGCTCCTTGAAGGTCTGAAAAAGACTGCGAGGTCAACGTGGCATCATCAATATAATGAAACAAGGCAGCATCAGGGGGTATTGTCCACCGGGCGGTGTTATAGAAGCATTGCCGCTGGGTGAGGGGAGAAGTGATGTAAGTCATTTTGCTCATTTCCACCACCAACAGCAAAATGCCTTTTGCTTCTGTAGACCAATACATTGTTATTTTCACATGTGGGCTCCAGTTCCCCAATATCCAAGCCATAGAGCTGCAGGGATGGGTTAAGGTCCTTTGGCCCTCCCCTGAGTCAAGGGGGCCAGGGTGTTCCCAGGCTGTCACTGGGGGCTCTGTTAAAGCTGCCAGAATGGCGTTTGGTTGTTTATCACTTTTTCCCCAGGGGTGCTTGTTGCTCCCCAGGGCTGAGGCAGTCGCTGCTCAGACTTCCCTCTCTGGGCTTACCTATACCTCAATGTTGCTGCAGCTGGAGAGAAAGGAGGGGCAGGGAGGGGCAGGGAGTTGAGGCTGCCTGCCACTCAGGACTCACCGTCCAGCCTTGCCAGGTGCCAGAGAGGGTGCCAGGTGGCTGGACCATGCATTTATCGCATTCTCCCTGCCCCCACAGGCACTTTCTGCCCCCACCCGACACATACACTCCTGGCCTGTCCTCGTTCCTGGTTATGTGATGGAATCAGAGTCAGAACCAGAGGCAGCAGGTCTTCTTGTGACAGCCTTACTTTTGATATTGAAACTCGTTTATTTTAATCTCAGCCAACTTGACCATACACAAAACTCCTCAAGGTTTTACTTCCACAAACCTTCTCTTGCTTTCTTTTTACATTCAGAATTTGTCCCACTTTTTTTTTCTTTATTCTTTCCCTAGCACTTTAGGAGAATTAATTTTTTAACAAAACAAAGAAAAATATCTCTAAGCTTTATACCTTCTTCACTGAAAATATACATTTTAGTTTCCTTCTATAGAGACTTTTTAGAAATATATGCTTTCTCATAGAAAATTGCTCAGCATGGACAAAACTGTTTATCAATAAACTCAAGCATGTTTTAGTTTCTTTGAGATAAGAAACCAAAGGCAGACAAATCTATGCTTAGAAATCAATTTCTATTTTGTTTGGAAAATGACCAAGATACTCAATGAATTTTTATCATTTAACTTAGTTTTCAAAACTTTAAAGTTTCAAGTTACCAAAAAGATTTTGGAAGCTGTTTTTTAAGCATTTATACCGTAAAACATAATTATTGCACCCAAAAACTCTTAGCTATTTTTATCTAAATAATTTTTTCTCAACAAT